AAAAAAAAAAAAAAGGTAAAAATGTTACTCAGGTGATTTTTAAAACAGGCTGTAAGAGATAAATAATTTTAATTTAATAGAATCTAACTATTTGACTTTGAGCTACTTTTCTAAAATATTTTTGTTAGGTAACTTTCATGTGTTTTAAATAAAAAATAAGAATTGAAAGTGATTTTAAAAATAAAAGCTGTATGTCCTGTTATCCTCACGCATGCTCTGCTGCTCCTAGCACGAGGCCACCATACGCAGGAAAGAAAGGGAAATGTGCTGACAAAGTAAAAGGCTCGGGAAAGCTGAACGGAAAGACCTGGGCGCTAGAAGGCTGCAGGGCTCCGAGGGGAGTGGGGCGAAGACAAGGGTTGCAGCTGCCAAGAGTGGGAGCAGATACTCTAACTGTCAAAGCGACAGCTCGCTCACTCCAAGGAGAGGAAGAGAAGCCAGGAGGCTGCACTGAGCCTGGGTCCAAACCCCGGCACCCTGGGTCCAAACCCCGGCGGTGTGACCTTGGGGAAATTACTTCACCTGTATAACCACCTAATCTGTAGAGTCAATTTAATACTAATGTTAATCATAAGGCTGTCAATGGAGATAAAGGACTTAAGACAATGCCTTCATACTGCTGATGTTCAAGAAAGACATACAATTCAGAGAGAGGAGAAGTTGAGATAAATTTACTTTGCTACAAAAGCTTAAAGAAAACCATTAGTATCTATTCAAGTTGTCTCTAATATAAAAGATATTTAAATTTCATTTCCAGTTACCGTTTTATAGTAAAAATAAACCAATTTAAAGATTAAGAAATAGATAACAGATCCTGGAGTGCCTTCTAGGTGGCAGGGTGTTTGCCAGGTACTTTATATACAGCCCTTTATTTAACCCTCCCACACCCCTGTGGAAATGCTCTTCTTATTCCCATTTTACAGATGATGACGCAGATTCAATGAGGGTAAGAAAGGAGTCAAGGTTACACACATTTTAAGTTGTAGAGCTGAAAATGAAACCAGGTCTTTCTGATCCCGAAGGCTATTTTTTTCTACTGTGTCATTCTGTCAAATGTACTATTTCATTTTAAAAACTGTAAAGTTCCTTCATTCATCGTAAAATATTTTAATGAACCTTTTTTGATTCCAGCAATAGATGGCTTCTCCAAGATTTGTAAAAGCTACACTTTCTCAAAGAAAACAATGCATCTGCTGTTAAAAATGGGTTACCCATCCTCAGCCGGGGACAATTAGGATTGGGCACGCTCAGTGTCCGTTCCTGGCTGTACTACACAGTCAGCCCAGGTCAGGACGACATCAACAGAGTGGAATAATGAAGTTCATTCTTCATTCTAGATAACTCACACTAAAAGTGACATTTTGCCAGAATGATTTCGGGAAAAAACAATCTGAAAAGATACCGTGTTCTTTGGAAGGTCTGTAAGAGGGTTACAGAGAGATAAGAAGGAACAGAGAGCTAAAGACAGGGCCTCCTCTGGCTTCTTAACTAACTCTGTAAACATCTTTGAATCCAAACATGGTAACTTTTATTTCTCATAAGAGAAATAAAGGAGACGAAAGTAAGACATATTTTCTTACTGAGTCATTTGTGACATTTATAAGTCTTTACATAGACAAGGCATAGGAAAGCCAATGTCTTGCTAATTTGTGCAGAAATAAAAATGTAAGTCCCTAGTGTAATGCGGTGTAAATTACCAGAGTTAAATAAGAGTTAGCTACGCTTGCCAGAAGAATCATGACATTTGGGTTTTAATACTTTCTATATATTTTCATATATTCCACACTTAACATTTTTAATGCAACCTCAAGTCTCTTGTGAAAGTCTCTGGCCAAGCTTCCGGCTTGCACATCCTACACATATCTATGTGTGTCATTCTCTCATTCATATACACACATCCGTACCACTTGGTTCTAAGATGATTAAATGTTAGCTAAAGCCTCATAGCCTGATGTAATTCATTCATTCAACAAATATGTAGTGTGGCAAGGTCGTAACACAGTGAGGGGTCAATGTTTTATTGTAAATTAATTATTCACATTCCACAGAACTAAACAAGATGTAATATTTCAACTGACACATCTTTATCTATCAGTCACTTTTTATTAATTTTAAAAGAACTACACATCTTGTCCCCATGTAATTATCTATCCTAGAACTATGAGTGATTGACTATTAACAATAATTCAAACCTGTATGGTGTTTTCAAGTTTGTAAAACATCTTTCCCATACATAGTATGGTGGTTCCACCATCTGATTCAAATCCTGCCTTTATCATTCTATCTTTGTGTAGCCTCTGAGAAGTTACCAGATTTCTCTGTTTATCAGTTTCCTATCTGCAAAATGGGGACAACAATATCTGTGCTATAGGGTTATTGTGAGGATTAAATGACTTTTACGCAATGCCTAACGCTGGCACATGCAACAAGTTCTAACAGTTTCTGCTGCGATTATCTTCTTGTGACCCATGAAAACTCTGTGAAGTAGGCATGAGAGATATTTGTACCCATGTTATATAGGTAGGAAAACTGAGGCAGAGACATTAACATTTTGTTCTGCCTATTTCCTCTGAATTCCATGAAGAATTCTTTGGCAGAGGGAATTACTAATACATGGAAGAGCAAAATTCAAAGTTTCATTAATTAGTTTTGCTTATTTGCAAAATAAAACACTGCTGGGTATTACTTTTTTCATAATTTTTTTAAAAAAATATGTTTTTATTGATTTCAGAGAGAGGAAGGGAGAGGGAGAGAGAGACATGGAAGCATCAATGATGAGAGAGTCATTGATCAGCTGCCTCCTGCACGCCCCCTACTGGGGATTGAGCCACAACCCGGGCATGTGCCCTGACCGGGAATCGAACCGTGACCTCCTGGATCATAGGTTGATGCTCAACCGCTGAGCCACGCTGGCTAGGTGGTGTTACTTTTTTAAAAAAATACTCAGTAAGTGTTTACTAACATTCAACAAGGCGGCAGCAGAGCATTTCACCATGTGCGGAGTCCTGCTCGGGGCCCGTGCGAGCACACAGGCCGGCGAGCTTATGAAGCTGGTCAATGATTAGAGAAGGCGTCCTCCCTCCAGGAACCTCTGTTCCTCTCCACACAGGAATATCTGAGCGGCAGTCCCAGGGTTTCTCTATAACATTTGGTAAGAACTAAAGTTGACCAGTTTAAGAGCTGTTGGGACTCCGATTCAGTCAGAAGGCTTCTTCCCTTTCCATACGACATTAATGTGTCAGAGGCAGAGATAACCAAACACACAAGCATCCCTGGCTTTGCCTACCCATTCAAAACTGCATTACAAAAGTGCCTCTCCCTGGGAAACCAGATGTATCTGCACACCGCATTCAGCTCCAGCTTGGAGACTCACACATTCCTCCAGGGAAACTGCCCACACTTGGAACTGCTGAGGAGCCCATGCCCTGCCCTTGTACGCAGCCACTTCTCTCCCAAATTTAGCCAAGAGAGAAAAAGCACGGTCTAATGCCAAGTCCCAACTATTTTGCTAAAATGTTTGCTGCTTATGCCTGCTTCTAAATTATAGTGTACATAGTAAGGCCAATCCATTGTGAGTGAGTCATTTTGAGTCTTTGATACATAGGGAGTTTCTCAGGAAAATATTAATGGCTATCCTATATCTCTACTGTGGATAGATTAGAGGAATTTGATCAAATTGTAACTGCAGACACTTGTTGGGCATTAAGAAAAGCGTTTCTTCTAGATCAAGAAGACACTAACAGGAAATTTTGGAATACTTTTCTCCTACGTGTTACCAACTATAGTAGATGATGTCAATTCACTTGTCAGATGAATGAATGAATGAATGAATGAATGAATGAATGAATGAATGAATGAATAAAGGACTCTATGAAACCTGGCCCTGAACTATATAAATC